CATTTACACTGCCTCTTATGCAAAAGGATTTTAGTGGTACAGTATTTCCTGGCAGGTATTAGAGTCAAGGATCTGCAAGCAAAACATTCAACATATTCAATTATCTATTTTTGTCCATAAACTAATATACTTCCCTTCCTCCTCCCCTCACACGCTAGAGTCGAGCACCAACATCAAAGAGTCTACCTTACTCCTACAAAACTGTTTTGATGTCTACATTTACACTGCCTCTTATGCAAACCTCTAGGATTTTGGTGATACAGTACTTCCTGTCAGGTATTAGAGTCGAGGATCTGTAACCAAGTGAAAACACAAACCAAACAAATGTGTTACAAACAGTACTAAGCACAGTTCCCCGAGGGCAAACCCTGTGCTGTGACTGCAAATGTCATTAGATCTTGTTGCTTAGCACCTCTGCTCTTCTCTACTTCTGTGTAAGACCCACCCTCTACTATCGATGCTACACAGATATGCCCACATGCATAATGTACCAGCCTGCAGGCAAGAGCACAGAGTAAGAGTTACGGGACAGAAGGAAGAGGACAGAGAGTAAGTGAAGACGCTTAGTTTCGACATAGCTGCCAATCTAATCCAGCCTTACAGTTGGTATCGACCTCTCAGCCTGCTGCTGTGTGCCGTCCAAGCATGTCTACAGAGTTGGAGCTTCCCTTCCGGCCGGACAACGAGCTGACGGAGATGATGCGCCTGCGGGTGCAGTCTCTGCAGCAGCGAGGACAGAGGAGACAGGACGGCGAACGTCTGCTGCGGCCCAACGAGGCCGTGTACCGGCTGGATTTCCCAAAGCAGTCCCTCCGATTCTCGCACTGGGCGGTGCAGCTGGCCCAGGCGGGACGCCTCACCATCACGGCCACCTCACAGCTCTGGACGCCTGACCTCACCCACCTGATGACACGCCAGCTGCTGGAGCCCGCCGGGGTTTTCTGGAGGGCGCCGGGTGATGCCAGCGACGCGCCCGTTCAGTGCTACGAGGCTGACGCGCACGAGTTTGGCGAGAGGATCGCTGAGCTGGCTAAGGTAAGGAAGGTGATGTACTTCCTGTTTGCATTTGCAGAAGGCTGCAGCCCTGAGACTGTCGACAGCTCCATCAACTTCACAGTGGATAGCTGAGACCTGGCTGTCAAAACACTGGTGAAATACTTGCTACAAACTCTTTTTCTTTCTGTGCTTTGTGTGCGTTTAGTTGAGGAAGTTTATTTTAGGTTGAACCTGCATTTTATGTACGGATGGCTCCCTCTTAAGTGGCAATGTCACCTCACCTGTACGGACAAGACTACACCGATTCTTCTCTTTCTCCTTTTGTGACTAATTTACAAAGAAAATATAACTTTTTCTTCTGTTACTGAACCTCTCGATCACAACTGGTGCTTCTTTGTATCTCTGTATCGTACAATGGGCATAAATACAGCGAAATACAAATAAATCCAATAAATCACAAAAGGTGTATCTGTATTTTTTTAACCGGTGTCTGAACACGGATCATGTCTTGAGCCAAAGTGTTATTCTCCCTCTCCTCCTGTTTGACAAACAGTCCGCCCTGATGGGTTTAGTAGAAATGAATCCCACATGAGGTAATGGATAGAGACAGTGTGTATTTGTGTGTGTGTGTGTGTGAGTATTCCCCAGCGGACAGGGGGAACAGGTTCCCGCTGCCTCATCCGTCTCCGTCTTGCATGGTGACCCTGACAAACAAGAGAAGGAGGAGGCATTTGGATTTCATCTCTCAGCCTCCTCCTGCAGGCTCGCTGCTTCACACTGCAGCGGGGGGACGAAACAGTAACTGTGACTGCGAATGAGAAGACGCGTGTCAGATGAGGTGTGAAGAGAAAAGAAAATAACTGAGATGTCAGGAGGTATTACTCATTTCTTTTGTATGGTACAAAGCATGTAACTAACTCGCCACCTGAACCAACCTTTAAAGGCTACACCTCCTTTTTTTCTGATAGATCGACCTTTCCTTCAGCCTTGAATGCATAAATAGTAATTATCATCGAGTGTCCTCATTGGTATGTGTCCTTTTGCTCACTCTTGCCTGTCACCCTTTGACCAATATTTAAACAAATGGACTGGGTTTGGAGGAAATGTGTCATCTTATTATTACGTAACGATAGACAAACATACCAATGTTAACATTTAAACATATACAGCGTTGAAGTAAGGACCTAAGAGTGCAGCTCTGGAGCCAAATGAGAGGCACTGGCTGTGTTTTGCAGGTAATTAACATGTACAAAAGCAATACAAATTAGCAATGTTTTGTACCAGCACTCTGGTTTCACTGGGGAACCGTGTCTGCTCCTGCGAGACTTGGATCATTAAAGAACCTGGTGGCCAACAGGAGACTGAACAGATGAACATCTCAAAGGCTGCTTTAAAAAAAGGACTTCCACTTTTGTTATTATTGTTTAGATCTAACAAACTAGCACTGCAAGCTCTCGACTCTCTAAACTTGAATCCAATTTCAAACTTTAAAACAGTAGCATACAGCAAATCAGTCCCCAGGGATCAGATCCAGCCTGCAAGACAATTACATAAAGCCCCCCCAACATGTTTTTCACATATTTCCCCATTAGGATTTCTCCCCAGTCTTTTGATTTAGAAATAATCATTAACTTTTTTTTTTTTTTTAACAAAGCTGCAAAATCAGAGCATTACATCTCTTTATTTCACACCGAACAGAAAAGTTAAACATCCTGGGAAATAAGCTTATTTGTTTTCTGGTGGAGAGAATACTGATACCACTCTCACATCTGTGTGTTAGCTTTAGGGCTTTGATCACTATTTCACAAAGCCCAAGGTGATGCCCTCAAAACCCCAAAACATATTCAGTTTGTTGTCACAAACGACTAAAGAAACCAACAATATTCACATTTAAGCTGAAATAAGACAATTTGAAATTATTTCTTAATAATCAAAACGATTAATCGATTATTGAAATAGATTGCGATTAATCTCGTAGTTGACAACTAATAAATTAACTGACTTATTGTTAGCTTAGCATAAGATTAGAAACAGGTAGAAACAGTTACAAAATCCACCTATAATCACTCTAAAGCTCACTAATTAACAGGCTATGTCTTGTTTGTTTGATCTGTATGAAAAGTGAGGAACAATTCACTTTTTGTACGGGGAATTATGGGCTGGCTAAGTTAACCTTAACTTTCACGGCAGATATGAGATCTTCTCATCTAAGCGAGTAAGTATATTCCCAAAATAAAAAATAAAAAACTACCACACTTTACAGAAGACAGAGCCGACAGCACAGCGCTCCTGACATTTGATATCGAAATGTCTCTTTCTAAAACCAAAATAAAGGTTGACCCAAAGGACAGACGGTTGCAAGAGAGGTAGTCAGGTAGTTTTATTTAATGACGACAGTCTCATGTGGCATTACTCTCTGCAAGAACACAAATACACCCCCAAATTTCCCCGAAAAAGTTAAATATTTCTTTAAACTGAGTTAAAATCAAACGGCAACAAAAAACACTAAAATAAAATCCTCAACCCAAACTGCAGATGTAAAAAAAGGAGGAATGAAGCAGTAAACATGCTGCTCACTGGATATGCAGTTGGGTGAAAACTGTGTGCGACTGTGTGTTGAAGCAGAGCTAGAGAAACAGAGTAAACAGAGGGGAAGATACAGCGTAAGCACGCCCATAAGTACACACTCTGTCTGAGCAGACTGTCACAATCCAGCGTCTCGCTACAACAGGCGGGGGCATCTGGTTTCAAATCCCTTTAAATGCTAGGTAATCACTTTGTTTCCTCTGTCAAGATGGATGCCAAAGAACGGTTCAGAATAATCCTGACACCCAAAACTCCAGATCTCAGTACAGTGCAACTAATATTGTCTTCTGTTAATGTTACACCACCAGTGTTTGTATCGCAAGACACTAAACCGCTGGAATAGAAGCCAGAGGTTATTTAATGTAAATACAAGGAACTCTAATGAACCTTTCTGTATAGATATATATTATAATAAGAAATTATCAATTAATCTGCAGATTATTTTCCAAGTCCAAGTGTCTTGTTAGTCCAAAACCCAAAAAATATCCAGTTTAATATGATATAAAACAGAGAAAAGGAGGAAATCTCCGTATTTGAGAAGCTGAAAACTTCATTTTTTTGCCATTTTTGCATGAAAAATAAATAGTAGGTGATTATTTTTTATTATTATTGCTGCAGCTGTGCAAGGAACCCAACGAGGAAAGCTCCCAATGAAGACAGCACTGTTCTCACAACAAACCAAACTGCACTGGTTGAGAACAGCGGTTCCAGTTACGGTTAAGTAACTAGTTTTAGCTTCATAGTTAGTAAAGCTAACATCAATGCATTCATCCACCTTTACTGGCCTCTCTCCTCTGAGCTAGCATTAAAATGTAGTAACCCCTCCCCTGCTGGTTAGCCACGTGAAATGATGATGAAAATACAAACAAAAACACTTCCCAGAGAAGCCAGGACATCCATCTATCCTCAGTGCTTCCAGTTGGTCCTGGGAGACTCTACTTTAGACTCCACCAATCAGACATCTACTGACTGATGGAGTCTGCTGAGACCAAGGAGGCGATGTGGTGCTGTAATGAGTCCTCTGGTGTTTACTCCTTATCATAACGGTTCCTAATGGACACTGAAACACTAAATATGGAATAATTACATAATTGAGTACACAGAAAGTTCCTTTTTGTGCAGGAAACAATCTTTTTTCTTCCAATATCCGTCAATTATAAACGCTCCTCTTAGTTAAAGTGTTGACCCTTTAGCTTTGATTTTAGCCTTTCTTCACGAAGTTCAATCAACAGTTGGTTGTAGGGTGGTGTTGAGTCATTGATCGTCTTTTTGTGTATGTCTGGCACAGCTGGAAATTGTCCTTCCTAGCAGACGTTCAATCAACCAGCAGAGGGCGTCAGCAAGAGACTAAATTGGACCGTATGAAGTCGTTTTCTTCCACCACAAGCAAACAACCACAAAACCACAAGAGCAGAAAGCATTGAACAAGTTTAAACCTTCTATTAGATATTGTTGAGTTTTTTACTAATGTAGATAATGTAATAATAATAATAAAGACAATAATAATGTGAGCATGTCAACTATAAACTGGCCATCAGTTGTATTATTAACATGTTAATGTTTATTAGGATCCCAACTCTGTCTCTGTGTGTGCTCAGATAATGAGAAATAATCAGAGATGTTACAGATATTCCTTTTGCTAGAAACATCACACTGGTGGGCCAAATCGAACCTTATGGCAGGCCAACTTTGGGCAACATTTTGGGGAGTTAGTTGTGAAGATTGATTGCCAGTTTTGTGTCTGTGTGTTAAATGCAGAGCTGGGGGGGCAGGACATAGTTAGCGTAGCTTAGCATAAAGACTGAAAGCAGGGGGAGACAGCTAGCCTGGCTCTGTCCAAACACACCTACCAACACTTCTTAAGCTGACTGATTAACAGGTTGTGTCAGTTTTGTTTAATTCATAAAGACACAGAAATGTAAAAAATGTGGTTTTAGGGGAAATGATGTGCCAGAACTATTTCTTTAAGAACAACAGTTTATAGATCGGCACATGTGAGTCCCAATAAGTCACCACAGCACCAAACCTGGTAACCTCAGTGTGAAAGAAACAGCAACACAAATTGTCATTATTATATTTCCCTTTGTGCACATATAACAGGATATCACTTCAGAGGTGCTGGTTGGCATGCTTTCTTACTTTGGAGAGCCGTCTGCCGGTCTTAATGCTAAGCTACGCTAACAACACCCAGAATTTGGCTTAATACTCAATATTGTTCTACTCATTTCGCTCTCGTGAAGAAAGAAAGCAGATTCCCAAAACTAATTCTTTACCAGTTCAAGTTTGTGTTGTGAAAAAAAGGCAAAGACCAAAGAATAAAAGGACAACAGACAAACAAACAAATACACAAATAAAAATACACAGACTTACTTTTTGCCATAGAGACTCTCTGGAGGCCAAGCTGGAGCACGCCGCTACGAACCAGCAGTTCCCCAGCTGTCCCTGATGGAGGTCGTGTGCACTGATGCCATCTACAAACAGGTGAGGGTCTTCACACAGCTCCTACGCTCCCAAAGACAGACAGACAATACATGAGTGAAGACATTCAAGGCTTTTTAATTTTAAGCTAAAATATCATATTTTAAATCATTTTAGTGAAANNNAAAGAAACAGGCTTTATGGTTCATAAACTGTGTGTACATTCCACGGTACAAGACACAGAGGAGAATAAATGAGTTATCGAGGCAAATTCATGAATCAGAAAGAGACCATCTGTCCTTATGCACCCACGTATCATATTCATGACCTTCTACCCGAGTGTGGGAGGGCAGCGTGCATCTACGAAATCACATTTCCTGTGGCTGCTGTGTTGAGGTCCATTTTCTGCCGCAACGTGTACACACAGACCTCTATTACAGCTAACAACATGGTGCTCAATGAGCTGCTCTCACTTCCTCTCTCTCTCTCTCTCTCTCTCTCGTATGTATACCGGACTCACACACCATCAGACATCCTGTGGTTCCTGTGATAATGTGTGGGATGAATACTACAGGCTGTGGGTCGACATTAGCCACTTACAGAGAGACACACTGTCCTCTACGCTCTTGTCTACACACAATGGCTACGCTTCAGCATAAATATGTTACAAACAATGGGGAGGGAGGGTAATGCCAAAAAATGGGAATTATTTTCACTGCCTGAAAATGAGCTAAATATACATAAATATACATAAATATTGCTGAAAATGTGTGAAATCAGTATATACAATTGTATGGGAAAGTCACAGCTTGCAGACACTTTTCGTAGCAGCTAAAAGTCAGTTCTTGTATTTGGGATTTTTTCCCCATTCTTTCTTGCAAAAGGCTTCTAGTTCTGCAATATTCTTGAATGCACAGCTCTTTTAAGATCTACCCACAGATTTTCAATGATATTTAAGTCAGGGGACTTTGAGGGCTGTCCCAAAACCTTGTGTCTTTTGAGGTAGTGTTATAAAAACCATCCTCTTTTTTTTTGCTGCCAGAATTCGCTGGTATTTAATGGAATCAATTCCTCCCTCCACCCGTGCAATGTTTCCTGCGCCACTGGCTGCAACACAACCCCAAAACATGATAGATTCACCCTCCGTGCTTAACAAAAGTTAGCCATGTTGTTAAGGCACAGATGTCTTAAATTACTGACAGTACAAAACCAGAGCTATGTGCTTGATAAAAAAAGCGTAACATGCTCCAACACGGAGTTCAAAGTTTATATTCAAACAAGAAATAGCTGCAGTATCATTTTAATTTATATTTACTACAAAAAATTCTGGTTTGAATGGATATTTTTATTTAACCAGGAAAGGTCCCTTTGAGATTTTTTTTCAAGGGAGTCAGAACAAGTAAATTCAAACAGAAACAAACAACAAACAGTTTTACAGTATTTTACATCCCAAAGATTCAAACTGCAGCACAAGCCATGCATCTAATAATATCAGTTCAAGCACCGACACCCAAACAACTCAGACTCAGGACTTTCAAAATGGATTTGAAAGCATTCAAAGAAAGCAGATTTTTAAAAGGAGTTTTAAATCTTTCTGTAATATATTCCAGGCTGAGGATGACGAGTACACAAACATTTGTATATACTGTAACATCTGAGGTTAATGTCAAAAACATCAAACAAACTGCACCATTTTAGTGACTGGCCAATATTATGATTTTTAATATAAAAAGGTTAACACCAGTCCAATATAAAGTACAGAACAACTTGGTTTTTACTACAGTCTACAAGAGCTTTGCTGGCAGTGACCTGGGTGTGAACAGTCAGTCTGTTTTCTGCTCTCTGCTTTATGGGACCGGCGGGTCGATGGGCACCTCGGCCATTACTCAACAGAGAGCGGAAAGCACAGAATCACTTAACAGCTCTTTATCTTTACACACTTGCAGCACTCAACTGGGTAAAAGAGGTAGAGAGATGGTGTGAGACGGTGTGATCGTTTACTCGTGTAACATACAGCAACCTGGGACAACGTGACCGTTTTTTTATTAATTTATTTAATTAACTGTCACGTCAGGGTTACACTTATCATATCAAGTTTCTAGTCACCATATAAAATCCACGTGAGATTTAATACACTTTTGTTTACACTTATATTTTACACCACATATATCCGGTCTCTGTTTGACAGATCTGATTGCAATCGGT